ATATAACAACAACTTAATCAACAAGTGCACGATTATAAACTCATTGATCTAGATTAATATTTCTATAATACAAATTTTAAAATCTTCAAAAGAAAATTTATTCTTTAATCTCTACATGACTTGGACATAAGGATTTTCTTATAGAATTATTATTAGTATCTCCATAATTTTTATACTTAAATTTTTATTATGTTGTATTATCATTTTATTTTGAAATTTATTACTGTTATCATAAAAGTATAGCTAAAATAACATTGATTAATCAACTCAAACTTAAAATAATTCAAAACTAAAATTGAATGTAAATAAAATTTTTACTTATTTTAAATTTTAATTTAATTAAAAATATTATAATACACATAATTATAGAAATAAACTAACTCGACTCAATTTCAATTAATTTTGAAAGTCAACATCTTAGTTATTTAACACCCAAAATGATTGAATATAACCAAAATCCAAATTGAAATAAGAACCTAATCAAAATTTAATATTTCTTATTCATCTTTTATAACAATTTAAAAATGTCTTATTTAAGCTTTTTTTCTTTTCGTCTTCAATGTCTGATTTTTTCTATCTTTATGGTTGAATTAGTTTATTAATTTTAAAAGTATTTTCTAAAATGAAATTATAATTATAAGTAATTGATTATATTTTTTTATTTGGATTTAGGATGATTTAAATCCAACATTTTAAATTAAGAGAAACATGCACCAATTTTTGAATCAAATTTGCTTAGTTACATAAGTAAATAATTGAGTACACTATGAATATAAGTAGATGATAAAACTTGACTTAATTTAATTGGTTGTTGATCTTAAATCTAAAATCCAACTTGAAATTATGAAAAGTCAAAATTCAAAATGATTGAAGTACTAAATACATAATTAAATAAAAATTTATCAAATAAATTTTGCTAATGAATACTTTTAAATCATTTTAACGTTTAGTTAAATTATAATTTATAATAATATTTTTATATTAAATGTAATAGTGATAATTAATTCGATAAATTTCAATTTTTTTGAACAAAGATTACCGAATGCGTTAATCTTAAAATTTTTGATACAAGCATGACCATTCTTAAACTAACATAAAGGGGAAAATGAAAAAGCATACAATATTTTTTCAAATAAAAGAGTTTCATATTAATCATGATAAATTTTGAAACTAATATATTTGTATATTTTTCATTGAAAATCATATAGCACTAACCTTCTTTGTCATATAAAAAAAATGGAGTTATGTATAACCAATCAATATTTCATCTAATTTTTCTGCTTAGGTTAATCTTCCATTGATGCTTCCATCAATTAACCGTAATTGTATGTTATATCAATTGAAAACTTAAAATTTCCTTTATTTAAAAACTTTTATTTTATATAAATTTTTATTATATAAAAATATTAAAATATATAACTTTAAAAATAAAATAAAATAATTTCCTGACTTGGTACTTGTTATGTTTTATTAAAAAAATTTCAAATTTAAGAATAAAAACATATTATGTAATACCTATATAATTCATAATGATTTCATTTTTAGTATTGACAATATAAATTTTTACGAATGAATATAATTTTGTCATAAACATATTCAAAAGATAGATCCATTGACTTTTATTAAACCTTAAAGAATTCACTAAAAACAATTAATTTTACTTTGTTGATAATTAATTTTACTTTGTTGATAATTTTTTACTTAAATAATTCATGTTAGGTTGTTCATCCATATGAATGACAAAAAAAACAAGCAATTTAATATAATTGAGAAAAATTAAATAATTTTGAGATATAAATTAATCATATATAAACATATTAAGAGAAAAGTTAAGAGAAAGTTGTTGTTTCAGTCAAGGCAACAATTCTTATGACAATTTGACAGATCCCAATCTTGAGTAATTAGTAGTCATATCATCTCTTGAATTATCTAATTTTATAGGTGAAAAATTTAATTAAAGTGTTCAATAAATTACATAGTGCTAATTATTGGTGAAGGGGTTGCAATTGATTTGCTTTTGATTTTATATTAGTTTTTGTTCATGAGAATAATAATTATAAAATTTTGGAAGAAAGAATATAAAAAAAATTAATTATAGAGGTCAAACTAAACTATAAGAATGATATATTAAAAAATTATTTCAAGAAACTAAAAATATTTAATTATGTTATCAATGATCAAATGATCAACTCATAAAATATATAAATAATAAAATCATTAACGTACATATATATATCCATAGTAAAACAAAAAATTTGAAAAGAAAAAAATAGAAAAAAATGTTTCAATGACTTAATGATGATTATCTTTAATGAATTTATTTATCAACATAAACTACATATAATATAATTGTTTTTACAACAATTAAATAAACAAATTCCAAATAATTATTTTATTCCTATGCACACCAAGCTTTGATGTCATCCTATTTGTATTTTTATTTGATGAGAAAAATCATTCTACTTATAAAAAAATGAATCTAATAATAATAAAAAAGTCAATTTAAATTAAAACATATCAAAAAAATTACTAATGATATTTTACTCAATCTCACTTCTAAAATTTTTGAAATTAAACTTTAATTAAGAGTATTTTAATCAATCACTTTTAGACTTTTTTTTAATCTAATTATAAAAAAATTTAATAATGAAAAATTCATTTAAGTTAAAATTTATAAAAACATTTATTAAGGATATTTTAGCTAATCACTTTTAACACTTTTGAAATTAAAATTTTAAGTAATTTAATTTCACATAAATTATATTTTTAATTTTAGTTTATTTAAATTAAATTTAAATAAATGAATAAAAGTTATATATGTAAAATAAATTTATTAATTTAAAAATTTATAAAAATATTTAGGTCAATATTTTTAGAATTCACACTTTATAATGAATTCAATGGAGAAAGCTAATGACAGGTAGCTGTAAATTCTTCAAAAAGGTTACGAAATGTGATGAGATAAACATGTAAAAGTGATCAACTTTGATGTCAAAGTTTTTTGCTTGACAAAAATGACACTTTCACTACATAAGTATAAAATAATGCTACACCTTTAGTTGTAAGCACAGAAGACATTCCTTCTTTGGTAAATTAATGAAACATTATGAGGAAGCCAACATTTCTAACAAGAAGGGTGAATCAAGTCGCCATTTGGCTGGAAAATTAAGAAATCAAGTTGCGAAGAATGGAGCTGCTCCAGAGGTTAGATGCCTTGTAGGAAATTCTTTCATTGCTTTCAATGATGCTTGTCCCAAGATTCAGGAATGGTCAGACTCCTACAAACCAATATTGGAAATGGAAGTATTTAATGACTATGGTGGAGTACAAAATCAATCTGGCACCAATGAACAAGATAATGACAATCAGAATGATAAGACCTACCCTCGAGAAAGATGCAATCAATATAATTTTGTTGAGAAGATTGAAGTCTCCAATCTAACTTCAAAATTGGGAAATTATGCTGCAGTTGATGCAATTTCAAGAGTAAGATGCCTTGAAGGAAAAATTTTTAATCATTTACTCATGCAGATGTTGGAAAAAAAAAAAAAAAAAAAACAGAAACTGGCTCATTTATCTATCATTCAGGACTGGGTAGACACTAGTGGATTGCTAAGAACAGAGCTAGGATCATCAAATAGTAATTCTGTGGTTCAAAATCAATTTAGCACCAGTGAACATGGAAATCCCTCCCAGAATTTAATTGCCATTGACAATAACAGGACCAATCCTGAAGAAAGAAGCAATCGACATAGTATAGTTGCTGAGAATGAGAGGTCCAACAGCCTAGCTAATTTTGAAAATGATGATACAGAGAATTTCTACCTAGTGGTAAGGCTTATCATTTATCCAAATAGATAAAGATAAACATTGGAAGAACTAATATCTGCTTGTCTATGATTCGGGACCTGTCTGATTATAATCTTTGCAATGTTGATGAGATATTAAAAATGATAGTTACACTAGATAACAATATCATGCTTCAAAACCAATCTAGCACCAATGAACATGCTGCCGAGACAGGAATTCTCTACCCTGAAGAAAGAAGCAAATTAGCCACTGAGATTGGGAATACCAACTTGCCTCAGGCACAATCAAATCATCCTACGCAGAGGAGTCAATTAGGAAAAGATCACGCCTTTAAAACAGGGGATTAACCAATGACATTAAACTATCAAGTTCAAGTTTCACATTACTTGAGTTTGTTAATTGATATTTTCTACCGGATGTAATAGTTATGTGTCATAGATTAAGTTAAGGTTTGTCTAAACTCCAATCTGGTTCTACTTGTCCGTGTAATCTAATGTTATCCATGGCTAAACTCTAGCCTTATGCTCTTTCACCACATTCTCGAAACAACTTTCTTCCATTTTAGGTTTTACGTTTTAGTTGCAGAGATGGACAATATAGAATCCATACACAGCACACAATCAAAATGCTGTCCCATAAAAAATGACTATGAAATAGTAATAAACGTTTTCCTACTTTGTAACAAACTTTGAGAGGAAGCAAATCATAACAAATTAAAAATCAAATCATATTTGATTAAATATAATGAAACCCAATGCAAGCATATGAAAAATAAAACCATACTTCCTATTGTTCATAAATTAAGCTATATAGTGAATTCGAATTCGTTTGAGTTAAATTATATAAAATTATAAATCAATATTTAATATATATATATATAGTATCAATTTTATTTCATAAATAATGTTTGAATTTAATTTTTATAATGCAAATTTTTATTTTCATTATTGATATTTTAAATATTTATCAAATTATTTTTTTATAAAAATACATTTAAAATTCTCTTCATTCAAAATTTGAATTTTTTTATACTTTAATTATATATTTATTTAAAATTTAATAGTATTATTTTATTAATAATTAATATATTTTTATTTAATTATTTTAAAAATATATTTAAAAAATAAATTTAAAAATAATAAATAAATAAACGAATTCTCTCATATTTAATTTCAGAAAAATACTGCAGTTCCAGCAAGGAGGAACCATTGGAGTCTTGGAATTTCCGAAACCCGATTGATTCTCTTACCAGCAAAAACAACATTCCCACTCTGTACTTTTCCATTAAAAAAAATGAAACCAACTCTAATGGGCAGCCTCAAATTCTCCCATATCCCTCAAATGGGGTTTCTTCAAAAACCCCAAAACCACAATCTCCAGCATCCTAGCACTGTCACATGTGGGCTAAGGGGAGGAACAAGGAAACCCTTGCGGAGTTCAAGGGTGCTTTCCACCGAAGCCATCCAAGCTGTCCATTCCCTCAAGTTAGCCAAATCCAATTCCAAATTACAGCATGTTTTCTCCACAAGACTTTCCAGGTTACTCAAATCTGACCTTTTGGACACTTTGGATGAGTTGCAAAGACAAAATGAATTCCACTTAGCCGTCAAGGTACCTTTTTTTTTGTATATTTTCTTTTTTTGGAAAATTTTCTTAGGTTGCCAAAATGAATTGGAAGGAACCCTTTAGAGCTTTATGTATTATGATTTGTTTTTCAATTCTGGGTTTTTAGCTGAAATGATATCAGGATTTAGGTCTTTGAATTTGTGAGGAAGGAGGTATGGTACAAACCGGACATGCCTTTATACTGTGACATGATTCAGCTGTTGGGAAAGAACAGAATGACTGAAATGGCCGAACAACTCTTTACCGAACTAGAAAACGATGGCTTGAAACCTGATACAAGGGCATTCACTGAGATGATTGGAGCATATTTAAAAATGGGTATGACTGAGAAGGCAATGGAGACATATGAGAAACTCAAGGCATCAGGTTGTTCCCCTGATAAGTTTACTTTTACAATTTTGATTAGGAACCTCGAGAATGCTGGGAAAGAAGAGCTTTCAGCAGTTTTAAAGAATGACTGTACTGAATTTCTGGAGTATCCTGAGAGATTCCTTGAAGATGTTCAACGAAAGCATGTAAGAGAATCCTATTTTCTTTGTAGTTAGTTTTATTAGTTTTTGTTCTATATATATACCTCTTATATCTTCTAATTGAAGTTGAGTCCTTTTTAGTGCAACTTTTCTATGGTTACTTCCTTGATACAGTTGTAAGACTATGGTTTTCTGATGGCCATCCAAAGAAAGAAAATTATTTAGGAGAAGCATAGGAGGAAAATATCTTGCTCCATTTGTTGTTTGGAGATGGCCTGATGCCATGGAACTTAAACCATGCCATCAAAAGTTTTAAGAGTAAAATGCTGCAATCTTTGGACAAGTTCTACATCAGTTTAGATTTTTGTCCATGAGAATTTCGGCCTTTTAGGCTTTGCTTGATAGCAGAGAAAAATAGGAGGATGGAGCTGGGTCGGAGAAAAGTAAAAGGAAAATGATGTTTTTACCAATGCTTGGCAAGAGGGAAATGTGAAGTACCATGTCATTACTTAATGCATTTGCCATTTTAATAACTTTTTTTTTTTTTTTTGCTGAGGTGGATATTTTTGAAGTGTCTGAGTTGCTGTCTTTTCTGTTTCAGTCAAAGAGGCGGCAGCTGGATCTTGTTTGAAAATTTGCAGTCCTTGGGTGGTGAATGTCATAGCACCACTACTGCAGACTCTAGCTTCCAGAGAGCAGGACCTTGTTGGGCTCCCATAAGAGGCGTTGTGAGGATTTTCAATACATAGGAGGGATTTGTGAGAGCACAGTGGTTTAAGGCTATCTGCTTTGGCACATTTCAAGGCATGGTCTCAATCAACCCACTTCATTATTTCGTGTCTCTGTTCAATGTTGGGATTGAGTTAGGATTCATGGTCTTGATCAACATCTCCCATACTCTGTACCTCAATGAGTTTATTTAGGCAATGTATCAAGAATAGCATTCTAGAAAACTTGCTGGATTTTAAGTTTTTTTACTAGATTAAATTATTCTGTTTTATCAGAAAAAGATTCTACTCCTGTATATGATTTCAATGAACTTCTATTTTACACGAGAGAGATTTCAAGCTATGAATTTCTTCCAACTTTGAGGGGAAAAAAAGTTATTTACTGTTGATTCAGTCATTTCTCTGGCATTCCTATTAAAACAGTTCTAATCTTCAGTATTTGCTCATGACTCTGAGCCTTAATGATTCCTTAAACTTAGTATGTCATTCAAGATTGTTACCAGGTAGACTAACATTAACTCATATGGCACGATAACAAGACAATGAACAATAGACCTGTCTGTAGGACACCAATATGGATTGGTTAAAAAACCAATGATCAAAATAAACAATCAAATTCGATTATTCTTAAGAGATGGCATTGAACGAATTTGAAATTTTGAATCTTAACAATTACAACTCTTACTCCTATTTTCAGGTTGCAGCTTCCAACATAAAAAAAAAAAAAAAATACAAACACCATGTTCTCTCTCATCTTTGTTAAAGGAATTCAAAATTTGTTATACAAGGAAAATGTTCTTTCTTACCTTAAAGGTAGATGTACAAAAGGAATGCTTGGTAGTACAAATATGTGAAATTACATGCCATGATACAAGTAGGAACATTTCTTGGCCTCTACTTAGAAAAGAAAAACATGCACATTGCTCTCTGAACCACTTTGATTAACAAACAAATAGAATTTAAAAGGGGGCAAAAGTGGTAACTGGTCAATAAATAGTAAACATAAAATTTCTATTCAGCTTGACAAGTGGCTGGGAGAGCTGTTAAACATACTGTGCCACATGTATGCCCTAGATAATACCATTTCAAGCTCTTGATATGTCCAGTTGTGAGTTGGAAGGTGTTGAAGGAACATCACCAACTCTTGGAAATCAAGCTTCTGAAGTTTATCTGACCACTGAATATACAACAAAACGTTCATCAGTTCAGCTTTGCAAGAATTATCACGATTATGAACAATCAAGACAAGAAAAATTATTCCCAGATGCATCCAATATCAAAGCATCATTGATTATGTAACAAAAAAATTGCAGTTGAACATTTACAAATCACATAAGTAAAGCTCATCAGAAGAGTCCACGAGGAATCAAAAAAAATCTGAGAGAACATAGAGCTGTAAGAGATGCTCATTTTCAGTTTGAATGTCATCCATCCAACAGCTTCACCTATGGTCAACATTATGTTTTTGACCAAAGAAGTAGCCATTCTTTTTCTTTGGATAAGAAAAAGTAGATCAAACGCATACAGACATACATTTTTTTTATTTGAACAATTATCAAAGCTGTATCTCCTTAAGGTTGCAAAAATGCAGTCAAATGAAACCTAGAAAATTACATCAGCACAAAGGAAGTTAAAGTACTCCTCACCGTCAAAAGAAAACTGGCAAATATGTACACAAGGAAATCAGGCAGTGCATCTCCTTCAGCAAGATAGGTGTCCCATAGACGGGTTACTAGATGGAAAGGGATCTGTTCAACAAAAAAATAAAAAAAAATAGCCACAAGAAAAATTAAAAGTTGGACCAGACCAGTTTGTCAATCAGACATTAAAAATTTTGAAATGCAGGATAGTTAAACAAATGGATGTGGATGGTGGGATTAAGACTTACCTCACGTATCAGTAGACAGTTGAACCAGCGAAAAGCAAATTGAAGAAATTCAAGTCCTTGGTTCTCCATATGTCTAGAAACAGGTTCTGGTACAGGTTAACAGAACAAAGTGGTTAATAAGACAAAGATGGAATTAAACATACAAAAACTAGACAAAATTTAAGTAAATAACGAAAATAACATGCGCATTATATATAGGGGCATTATTACACATTGTCCTCAAAGACAGACACACACAAACCTCATTATTTCCTCTTTAACCCTTAAAACAAAGAAAGTGCTCGTGCACACATGCACACACACAAGAAAAACTCTTTGCTTTTTCTGTAACATTAAGAAGAAGAGTGTGCCTGCACATGCATGCACAACCTTTGGTTTCTTTAGAACATTAAAAAAATCTGCACAATAAATGAAGGCTTAAATCCCCTTCATAAAGCAAACAGTGGTTGAGTTCATATATAAAGAAGAATTCTAGGGTGCTCCTAAAGAGTTTACCATCAATGCGCCTAACCAATTCCTTCAGCTTAAACACAAGCCTCTGGATTCCTGGTTGAGCAAATGTGTAATGGTCTTGCATGCCATCAAGCAACTTTGACAAGCACCAATAGCAATCAGCTTCTATGTTGGATATGTTCTCTGAAGATATATCAGAGATTGACCAACTATCTATGCTCCCTTCTAAGTACTCTGATAAGAAGACAACTAGAAAGGGTGTGACAAGATCATTTATCCCCTGCACATATCCACTTGCTGGATGCCGAATGGCCCTGTACATGAAGTTGAAGAGCAACATCAATTACCCCCAAAACAGCAATGGGATCTCACAGCATCTTAAGCTGCACAAAGTTATAGCTCCAGTTGAAATTAATAATAAACAGTCATCAACTGTCACTCAAAATATGGAATTTAAACGCAAATTAATAAGAAAAAAAAGAGATCAGGACACTGCTCTAGAGATTTAAATTAGAACTGAAGCAGCAAAACGGCAGATGGTAGAATTTAAAGCTCTGCTCTAATAATAATATCATAATATGACATGATGCCTATGCTCTTCAAATAACCGCAATCATGATGTCATTATAGTCTGATAGACAGAAAATCATGTTCACATTTCAGAAAGAATCAAAGCATGGATCATACCAATATTTGAGAGATCTCTGTTATGTTTACTCTTCAGAGGTCTACTAAATATGGAAGATATAACTGAAGTTAGAAAACTTTACAAGTAAAGGGGTAGGAGTGTATGACATCTTGTAAGGATAGGAGTGTATGACATTGTAAGGTATTTACCCACTAGAATCTGAACTACAGCATTCAAATTCTTAGGATAGAGCTTAAACAAGCACCGAGTGATAGGTAAATGTCCAACCACAGTAGTTAAACATGATCCTACTTAAGACCATTTGGGGTTCCACATAATTGAACAGTAGAATTAGATTGTAAACTAGTACAAGTAGTAGAACTGGATCATAAACTTGTATGATTCTATCAACTACTGAAAGATTTCAATTTCGTTAAAAAAAAAAAAAAACCATAAAAATCCGAAACTGTATCCAAACACTGAATAAGGAAATACTCAAATGTATAAATTGCAAAAATGAAGCTAGAAGAATGAATTTTCTTGGTTAATCAAAGAAAACAAAGCAGAGATTTAATAAATATAGTACAATCTAAAATACTATCCAAAATATAATCTCTTAACAACTGAATGTGAATGTAAAATTAACACTATTTACATGCTGTTGATTGTTTTATTACTTGCTTTCTGCCATTTGTATTTTACTTCCTCAAATGTTGCTTAGAAGCAAACATAAATAGTAAAAAGAGAAATCGTCATAGCAAACATAAATGGTAAAAAGAGAAATCGTCATACCATATGATATGTATAATTAAAGATGAGTAATAATTAAAATATGCTAATCCAAACATAATTGTTCCACATAGAAAAATCAAACATTCCATATTCATAAAAGCAGAAGTATAAAATTTTCACTTCTTAAAAAATATTGTGTTTTACATGATATAAGAAAGCCATCAATAAATTTGAATTTACCAATTCAAATAATATCTTACCATGTATAAAGAACGCGCTCCAAGGATTTTTGAACTTGTGATTGCTGAAAGAAAGCAACATCAGGTACGGTTCTAGGACAATCAACAGCAATCTAAAAACAGAACAAACACAATTGTTAATAGTCGGGTACAGAAGGCTGATAATAGAGTTTGGTAATTAACTAAGGGCTAAAGGTACCTGGCGAAGCATATTAATCTCATCATCTGACCGATCAGTGTCTGGAATGTCATAAAACTGAGCAACACAATCAAGATACTCAAGGCGTTTCCTCCTTAGAACTCCCTCCCTTCTATCTGAATTAGGTGGTGCATATCCCTGTTGTCAGTTCATACTTTAATTTCAATCAAGCAACCAAGCTTATTTATTAGACAGTCTCCATCCATTAGACGACACATTAGTTAAACCTGGATATCAAATATGAGACATGTAGATTCTTCCGCTCTAAAAAGTGGCCTCATAGGGTCAATTAATTGGAATAGAAAGCCACCAAGACTACACAACAAAGAGAAAGCCAGCCCCCTTAGGAGAAATTGCAATTGTAACAAACTAAAACCAAATAATCAATACCTCCTATAAAAGATAGTCTGACACTTAAAAAAGAGCCCAGCATCATTAAATACAGAAGCAAGTCATTGCACTAGGAATGCAGCAATTAACATGTTATAAAGCTTTAAAAGCAAAATCCCGTGGATCATACGGGATTTGTTTTTTTGGAGTATACTACAAAATGGATAACATTATAGGTAGAAGCCATTAACAAAAAATCATTACTATCATTCTAATCCTAATGGGACAAAATAAAAAATTGCAGCCTTGCATCAAAAAAAGAATTATAGCCTTTGCAGAAAAGAAGAGTAACAAATTGGTTCACACAGTTCAAGTCTTCCTGATCCCTAAAACTGACAGTGTGGTTAGACCATCAAGCTTACCAGCATAAGTCTCCATACATTAGGACGCATATAAGGAGGAACACCGCTCCAAGCTAACTCCCGTAATCTCTCTGCACAAGGACATAATAATCAAATCAAATCAAAACTATGGTCCTATTTATAAAAAGATTGTGAAGCTAGAGCTTAGAAAGAGCAAAGGAATGACAAAAGTCTAGGTTCTCTATCACATCAAGAACAGATACTGATTGCTAAATTAAAGTGTTTGCTAATACAAATGACAATTTAACTTTTCCCATCAAGTAATTGCTTGTACTTTTAAATCTGCTTTTTACCTTCTCTAGTTCAACTTTCAACTGCAATTTTCTCACTTCAATAGCAACCTATTTATGCATCTCCTCACATATTCTTTAGTAGAAGTACATTCTCTATACAAGTTAGTTGATTTACAGGCTATTCTAGCTAATAATTGAACCTGGATTTAATTTTTTAAACAAGAGACAAAAAGGAAAGCTTCATAATGTTCCTCCAACTTTTTTACACAATGCATATTTTGAAAGCTTTTTGCTTTGCAATGGGCTTAGCTGGTGCCAAATGTTAGCAGAAAGGAAGTTTTCCTTAGATATCATTCAAGATGCGGTTGCATATCCTGCTGGTTACTAATTTAATTGTTTAAATGCAAAGCAAACCAGAACTTGTTCATAGCATCTATTGATGTGACAGTTGGAAGAAGGGAAAAAGTTTCCAACAGTTTTTAGCAATACAAACGCCATGACAGTTGAAAACTTGTAAGAGCAAGGAGAACACACTTTGATAAAACAGCTCATGCAGTGATAGCTTTGATAGATTGCAAGCAGTCGTGCAGTATTTTTAATATATACAAAACTACATATATCTTAATGTCATCATGCTATCCCAAGCTTTACATATATCTTAATGTCATCATGCCATCATCAATTGACGAGAAACAAGTAGGTGTTTGCCTTTGAAACAGCTTCTCTACTAAATAAACATGCGCTACATGTTTTGCAACCAAAAACTATGAACATTTATCAAAAACTCAATTTTAAAACTCTATTTTTGAGCTAGACCAAGTGGCTTATAGAACCTACTTCAATTTCACTCAAGCAACGCTTTTGTAAGAGTTTCAGTGGGGTCAAAAAGGCTCTATTAAGTATGTAAATCATTCTGGGAGCAAAAAAGTAGATATGGTACCTAATATGACCATTTGCCCTGAAAGCTCTCTAGTGAACTTTGTAACCCTGGCAGAATCTGTAGCTCTTGCACCCATTACAGACTTCTGGACTTCTTTGGCAGCAGTCTCAATATTTGAGGTTGAAGATCTTAACTTACTAACAGTTGTATTACTAATGGAGTTATTTGTATTTCTGACCCCTCCCTACAAAAAAGGAAAGTTTTTCTGTTATTAATATTACAGTTATTTAAAGAACTCTAAAAGCAACACTAGTACTAGAATAATCATTTTTGGTAATTAATAGACTCTATAGATGCACTCTCAACATCACCTCCATGGACTTGTCCATGTCATCACTTGTGCCAGCGTCGTTCTGTGAGAAGCTTCTTTGATAACTGGGAGATCGTTCCTGTAAGCCTGAATCATCGAGTGGATCTGGCCTTCTGGTCAATAATACTTTACCAGGAATACTGCGACCCTTAAGCAACCTTAATAAGAGGAATGAAAGAAAATTATTATTTGTATCCGAAGCAATAAATGTGGAGGAAACAAGTGCATAAAGCAAAGACAAAGAATGGATGAAAACTACACGGACACCGTAAAGCAATAGTTACACAATTTTTTAACATGTAATCTCAGTATTTACATTTATACTAAAAAAGTAGAAACCACCACGAATTTCCTAATACTAATAAAAGCCACATGGACAGGGAAACAAAGGTGGCATAACAGGACAATGGAACTTAACAGAAGAGGAAAATTTTTTGATTTGACCTCTTTACACAGAGAGATTTGCAGTAAGAAAAACAATATTGTAACCCATGTTAGCATTAATCTTCAGCCAATTTGCATTAAGAAATCCATGCTCAGCAATGTTTATCATTGGTAAGCATATCCAAAAAAATATAGTAACATTTTTGTTTCATAACTTTTATGAAATTCCCACGTTCAACAACTGTCCTTCTTATTATCAGGAAAAACCAAGCTAAAAAAAAGGAGTAACCTTTCTTGAATCCCTGTGAATCCTATGTTTCTCCGACCACAATGCCATAATCAAATTACAGCGTACACCAAAATTGAGACATTTTCAGGAAAAAAAATTAAATGCTATAATCTAAACACAAAAACTCATCTTGCAAATGAAAGAGAAACTGGGGCTATGCTATTGAGTATAACTTGAGAGATCTGACCTTAATTCCCATAAGGGTCCTTAATCTAAGTACAAACCGCAACAATTTACATCCAATAAACATAAAAGAAAACTTTTTGGGAAATCAAAGTTTCCCCACTGAAAAGCAAAATTCATCCACATGACTTGAGAATTGGAACTGAAAATCGAAAGATCAGAACAGATTTCGCAAAAGGGTATCTAAATCCGAGGATAAAAATACGAGTACAAAAATCCAGATTCAACATTGAAATAGTGAAACAGGGTACCCTTGGACATTCCTGAGGGTTTGGTTGAATCTGGAATCAAGGCTTTCTTTCTTACGCTGATCTTCTTCTCCATGGGTGTCGTTGTTATTCATGGTTTTGTTGTTAGGCGTTGCTGTGGAAAGAGCATGCTCTGTTTCTATTCCTGGTTTGTGCCTCTCTTTCTCGTTTGTTACTCCTTTTCTTCTTTCAATCCAATGAATCCATCCTCTGAAAACAAGATCAACATTACCTAGCAAAACAATATTTTAAAGCATGGTTTGTTCATATTAATTTCTTCATTTTTGTGTTCATAGAATTTCCTTCCAGTAGTGTTTCTCCTTTTATTACATTTAAATTTTTTTTTTTTTGTAAAAGTATTGTTGAAAAGTTATTAATTATTGGTGTATAAATAAAAAATGTATCCTGCAATAATTGTGTTGAAAAGTTAAATATAAAATATATACTTTTATTTTTATCGAATTTACGTATATAATTTTTGTTAAAACTTTAAAAATTATTTTTTTATTATTATTGTGTTTAAAATTATAAAAAATAAATAATTCAATTTTACTCTAAATTAATTATGAATCATTAATCTCGTGAAATGATGTAATTGAATTGAATTAATATAGTGAAAACTTTAAATTAAATTAAACTTTAAATTTATTAATTAAAATTTGATTCAAAATTAATTTTTAAATATAAATTTAATTCGAAATAAAAATTAAATTATTTAAATTGATTTAATTAGATTGCTTACTTATGATTTCAATTTTTATATCAGATTTGAAATTAAATTATATTAAATTTGAATTAATATGTATAAAAATAAAATAATATATTTTTAATTAAATAATAAATATATATAAAATGTAAAACTAAAAAAACAAAAATTAGGAACTGAAATTTAACACAAAAAATTCAACTTAACTCATTTAATAAATTAAATTATTTAAATTCAAACTCACTTCAACAATAATCAAATCAAAATTAAAATTTATCCTAATCAAATTCAAACAACTTACTAATGCCATGAATCATTTGCAGCCGTGGACCCTAGCCTCATCGGTTGGTCTATCCAAGCCGAGAGTAAGACCCATCTTTAATTTCTTTAAATATTTCAATCAATTTCTTAGTTTTTTTAATAATAAAAATATTTCCACAGAGGTATTCATTTCGAGTCTTATTGTCTCCTCCCATGTTCTGAGTTTCCAAATTTCTTGATTTGAGATCGGAGTTTGACTTGTGTTTGCCTTTGCTCCTATATTTTCGACTGCTACTAAGTTCGTGATTTCAGGTATGAATCGAATACCCAGTTACCCATTTTCATTTTTCTTTGAGTGCCTTTGCTCATGATGTTTATGCTTCCGTTAAGTTTTGGGTTGTCTAGATTCAGATTCATTGTTGAATTTCTCAACTTTCTGAATACTGGGTTTCTCATATAACAATGAAATTTTCACTAGGAGAATGAAATGCACAGAATTAACTTTCCGATTGATCCAAAAGAGAGAGAGAGAGAGAGAGAGAGAGAGAGAGAGAGAGAGAGAGGGTGATTTCAGGTCCAGATTTGGTGTCAGATAGATATATTTATCTATTTGTTTGTATTTTTGTTTGCAATTAAAGAACGGAGCCAGAAATGGTGAGGCAGAGCAACTATTTAACAACTAAATGCAAATTCTTGCTATAACAAATGTATTTTAGGCATGTATGAGAAAGCTAAAACCGGAGACATTGCCTGTTGGTGTTAACATGGGTGGGATCGTGTTTCATTTTTTTTCTTAATTTTGGAAAACTTAGAGATTTTTTTATGTTGATCAAAAGTGTTTCTGTTCCAGTAGTTAAATATCTTATTTAAATCTAGTTGCAGGCATGATCAAGATTCCATTTATATTCTAAATTGGTGTTTTAGTTAGGTAGAAAGTGACACAAAAAGGTTACTTGTATGAGTTTCATGTTCTTGTTGACTCTGAGTAAAGTGAACTCTCATATGTTTCCTAATTTTCAAAAATGTTACTAATCTATATCTGTATTATGTACTTCCCTAGAGTTTTGAAGAAAAAAAAAGACTGGATGTTGCGTACAACTGTGCTTTTTACCTTCAGCATCTGGAATTCAATAATGATAAAGACATACAGATATATTGACTGTAACTTAGATAATAATGATACATGTTTCTGTTAAGAAGAATCTCTTGCTCCCTCTCTTTCAACTGTACACGAACACAAATGTGCTCACCCAGACTGATAGAGGCAATAATCTTTGTATTGATGACCTGGAGAACCTTATTAATTTAAAAAATTGATTGATAGCTAAATGCTATATGCTGTTTGACACATTGTGTCAACTAGCTTTCTGCCTTTTGAGCATATACATTATGGTTAGGAATTATTACTAATTCTTTCTTCTTTTATTCCCCTTCTCAGGAGCAATAATCTTTGCTACACTTGTCTGCATGTATTACGATTTCTATGTGCCGTATGGCCTAACAGCCTATTTTTTTCTCTCCTTTGATGTTAGAACTCCATCAACGAGAATTGATCTTGCCATATCACAAGGATGACAACTACAGCTTGTTTTATCATTGTGAGCCGAAATGACATCCCAATATATGAAGCTGAAGTGGGGTCTTCTGCTAAAGTATGATGTTTGTTCACATCTTTCTACATATTTATTCCTTATAATGAAATTCTATTTTATACTTATCTGGAAGCCCAAAAGTATGATGCGGGATTTGTATCTGTTTGGCATGCTTATATTTTACTTCACATTGCAAGTTGTGTCCGTGGCCTAGAATTTTTTTTGTTTTACTTGCTTGGGCATTTGTACCTTTCTTTTTCGTACTCTGTAGTTCTGACCTTTTGATTATCTAGGAGTAATACTTTTGCAATGACTCTGAAGGAAATCATGAATAATGCTCATTTGCTGAAGAAAGAATGTTTAAAAGTTAATGGAATATCAGATATGCTTGGTTGTATCAGACCTCTAATTTGATAAAAAAATTTTTGGGTCAAATTAATTATTAGGAAGTATTTCATTACATCATGATGTTATTTTTGTGTCATACTGTTATAAACCATTTTTCTATATCTTTTATTTGTTTCATTTTTTTCCCTTTTAATAAGATTGGTTGTGGTTGGATTTCATAAGATTAAAGTGTTTTTACCTTATACAATAGTCTCTATGATTGTATGTTTTTTTGCCTTGCATGAGAAGCTGTTGTTACTGTTTCTGCCTTTCTCATTTGCTGAAGAAAGAATGTTTAAAAGTTAATGGAATATCAGATATGCTTGGTTGTATCAGACCTCTAATTTGATAAAAAAATTTTTGGGTCAAATTAATTATTAGGAAGTATTTCATTACATCATGATGTTATTTTTGTGTCATACTGTTATTAACCATTTGTCTATATCTTGTATTTTTTTCATTTTTTTTCCTTTATAAGATTGGTTGTGGTTGGATTTCATAAGATTAAAGTGTTTTTACCTTATACAATAGTCTCTATGCTTGTATGTTTTTTTGCCTTGCATGAGAAGCTGTTGTTACTGTTTCTGCCTTTCTGACTGCATTGCTCAATACAGAGAGAAGATGCTGCTCAGCTGCATCAATTCGTATTACATGCAGCTCTGGATGTTGTTCAGGACCTTGCATGGACCACTAGTGTGATGTGAGTTCTATTTTTCATGGTACATCCATCCATTTTAGCATATTCTAGAGAACTTTCAAAGGTTTTGCTATTTTTGTTACGTTTTACCACTTAATATCTTGATAACTTTTATTTACATTTCTGTTGCAGGTTCTTGAAAGCAATTGATAGGTTCAATGATTTGGTGGTATCAGTTTATGTAACAGCTGGTCATATCCTTTATATGTACTGAACTGACCTACATATGTCGTAACATATAACTGTATAACTAATATGTTGACCATACATCCAATATCCAATTTTTGACAATTATCAAGAATCAAACTAAGGGAAAAAAATTGCCATATAAATGAACAGCCTTCTATAAACTATTTGTCATTGTAGATTGTTGAGATTAAAGCACAGTATTTAACTAGACCCTTAAAACACACTTTAGTTGTGCATCTAGACCATCGTAACATTCAGCTGCTATTGATTCTATTAACAGTCATGGCCGTGATATTGTTTGCTGCTCCTATGGGCATGCTTTGTCAGCCATTGAGGGCATGCTGCCTTGTCACCTTTGTAGAGCTGTGTAAACTCTAACATCTTACTATTTGCACATGAATCATTCTGGTAGAATATCCTCTATCATATGGTTTCATGGGTTCCTTTTTCATTGGTGTGGTTTCTGTATGCTGTTGCCGTACTGGACATGCTGCATCTGTATGTTAGCATCAATTATTATTATCATTGTACTAACTAAATCAGTAAATTAGAAGAGCATTAAAGTTCTCATCTTCTTCTGTCATCTTTATTACCATGACCATTTTTGTCAGCCACTTGTTTTAGAATTTAGAAGGCATGAGAGTGTAGTATTTCCCTTGCATTTATGTTTTCGTATCACTGTTACTAGTTCCTATTTAATATTTCCTTGACTTAATCATACATACACGATTTATGCTACTTCATGACTCTCGTAATGATGATGGAATCAAGAGCTTTTTCCAAGAGGTTCATGAGCTTTATATAAAGGTAACTTCTGCTCTCCACTTCTTCTGTTAACTCTTTTTCTTGGACAATTAATATTTGGCAACACTTTTCATTCCAGCAGATAAATTCCTCTAGGTCTTTACGTTGATTTTTTTTTCCTTTTTTCTGTGTGATGTTTGTTTTCTTCTGTGATGCTTTAGTTGCTGGGATGTGTTAGTTTGTCAGATAAAATATAGGTTTCTAGTTATCCTCTATGAACATCCTCTAATCACATGATACAAACATGCACTACTAGATTTTGAAAGCTGTTTCAGATTTACTTGGAAAATTAAGTCAATAAAAGTTACATATGTGTTGTGTACCTCTTTGTCTTGATGGATAGCTCAAATGCTTTATTTTGCGTATCTTCTGTCATTTTAATGCTTTCTTCTATTAGCACTATCATAGGAAAAATTCTTCAACCAGGATATACCATTTATATGGACTTAGGGACTTTGCAGTGGCAATTTTTGTTGAAAAATCCTAATTTCTTAACTTTTTTTGTTATGACATTTGATGTTTTGACTGATTTTTCATCATCTGAAATTTTGGTAATTGGCAGATCCTTCTTAATCCACTCTACCTGCCTGGTTCCCGCATTACATCGTCGCATTTCGATACAAAAGTTCGTGCGATTGCAAGAAAATATCTGTAGGCGGTCATTTGTTCCATTGAAGAACTTGAGATGTTACACGATTGAGCTTTACATGATTATACACCCTTTAACCTCTCTCTCATGGCAAATTTGATCATATATGGTGAAGAGCAAAGCTCTTTCTGATTTCAGTTTGTGTTTACATTGATTAGTTTTAACACATGATAACATCTTTGATAGCATTTAGCAATCCAGAGGCATCGATCCGTTTTTCTCAGGGCTTGATCAGCTTAGAAGGTCAACATTTCTCTGCTCTGATGTGAGAGAAACCTTTCATGAAATTCATGCAATTCCTATGCATTGACATGATCAATTACAGCACTAAGGATAATAATTCGGTTCAATTTTTCGAATATTGCATGATATTATGATAATTTAAAATCTGATCCGAATCTAAACTTTCATTCAATCCGAATCGAATTGAATTTTACCTGCTCAATTTAGTTTGATTTATAGGTTTTTAATTTTTATTTTTTTTTAATTTTTATATATTATTTTAATATAAAATTTTAATATATTTAAGTAGATTTTAATAGAAAATTATTATTTTTATTTTATAAAAATTTAAAATCTATATAAAAATTAAAAAAATATAAAACTTGGTTCAATTTAGTTTGAGTTTTTCTTTTTTTCACATTTTGATTTAAAATTCAATTTAAATTTAATATATACATTTAATATTTAAATTTGATTTGAATTAAATAAAAAAAATTGATTTGAATCAATTCGGATATTATAATTTTAAATTAATTTTTGAATTTTTAAAATTTTTTTCACTGATATACGGCACACCATTTTTTAATGTTTTACACATTCCATATGATCATGGGTGCCCAATTCTTGTGTTATGGCTTTTTCAATTTGAAAAGGAAAAATTATTTCCTCAAATGCAATTGGATTTCCTCGTCTTCCAATGAAATTTTGTCAGCTGCTTGTGCTAAGGCAAACTCAATGTAAACAGTTTGATACTGGGGAGACGTGGAAAGTAAAAGCCAGTGTAACGTAGTTGACATGGAAAAGCTACAAACAGTAACTTTGAACGACCAAAAGGCAAAAGGTATCCAAAGCAGATGAACTAATATCCTATTATTACCAGTGAGTTTTTCATAATGAAGTAGTTAAACAATTAAATTAAAATATAACGATTTGAATAGGCTAAATGAGAAATATATGATATGGGTTTTTTTTTTTTTTTGTGAAGAATATTTTTAGGGTATTTTTTAAAATTTATAATAATAGCTTTGTGAAATTCATATAATATTTTAAAAAATCAATAAAATTTCGTTTTAATAGTAATAGAAAGTTATGAAATCTTGATAGTTTAATTCAAAGTTTATTATGCGCAAATTTTATTTGATTTTATGTTATATATTTTGATTGATTTGTTTAAGTTTTTATTTTTTTACATAAAATATTATAATTTTTATTTGTACAAAGAACTTCATAAAATAAAAGTTTATATATTTTTTTGATAAAAAAAATTTGATGTACATAAATTATTTAATTTTTTAAATTAAATCAAGATATGTCATCAGGTCATATATTAAAAAAATAATCATCAATAAAATTTGAATTAACAAAATTTAAATTAAAAATTTTTTCATCAATAAGATAAAATTTAATTAATTAATCCAATCACTTATTAATAATAAAAGTTTATATTGTTTAATAATTAAGGCAACTTGCTATAACTTCAATTTCATTTCTTAAACTTATCATTTAGCATAACATCTAAAAATAATAATTAAAACATTTTATGCTTCAGTAATTTTTTTCTGTACTGTTAAAGCAGGTTTTTGGAAGGAAGAAAAAAATGTAAAAAATTGGACAATAATTGTGACTCGGGTAAAGAAAGAAAGGGAAACCGAAACCGAAGAAAAAAAAAAAGCAAAGAGTAAAGTTAGCTTTGCAGGTCTCTACCTTTCTCTCAACCCAGCACTCAGCATAAGCGACCCCATTTCTCACTCACTCACACAAGGAAACAAAGGAAACCTTCCTTTTTCACCCGCCGATCCACTCCTTGTGATTTGATCATTTTTCCTCTCAGTTTTCTTCGGAAAATGTTATGTGTTCCACATCTTCAGGTAACTTCTATTTTCTCCTTTTTGGGTTTTTTTTTTTTTTTTGTGTTTGGTAAATAAGAAAGTGCTGGAAAATGAAGGGCATTTGGGTTTTTTTTTTGGGTAAGAGACAAGTAAATTATAAGTTTGTGCTTAGCTTTTTTTTTTTTTTTAATTTTGTTTATGTTACCTTTTTTCTTTTCTTTTTTTTTTTGGAAGCTTAATCTGGTGGGTTGGGTTAAGTTCAGTTTAATTTTATTGAGATATTTGTAATTTCTTCTTTATGCGTAAGATTTGAGAAATTTGAGAGTTTGATTCTTGATTTAGAGTTTCTTTTAAGGGAAATTTGTTGTTTTTTTAAGCTTGATGTGATTATTCGGTTAGCTTTGTTTGTTTATGCTTAGATATTACTGAGTCTTTTGTTTGCTAATCTAAGAAATTGTCTAGGTAAAAAAAGGAAAAATGGATTTTTTTTCCTTAGATGTAACTTTCCTGAACAAAATTCTGTTTAAAAAAAAAGGAAAAGAAAGAAACTTCAAATTTTAGATGATCACTACCTTGGTTGAACAATTATTTTCTATTTTCCTTAGATTTATAACTTTTTATTTTAGCTGATGCAATTTAAGAAAGGAAATATTGTTTCTAGTGTTGCTAATTGCTTGATTGAGTTGGGCTAGAGTTTCTGTTAAGATATGTCTAATCTCTTGTTTGCCATCAGAAAAGGAAAGAATGAAAAGAACTTAATACAATTTTACTAGTGTTGTGAGGCTATTAGTGGTGGATTTTATTTTTTATGAGAAGCATGAAAACTGCATTGGAAGTTAGGTTTCCAAAATTGTATTTTGCTATCTGGAGTTGAGAAAGATCCTTGTAGAGCCTGTCTGGGTGCAGTTCTTTTTGCAATCAAGCTGAGTAAAAACCTTTTTGAAAATTTTCTTTCTGAAGAACCTAAAATGTTCTTTGGGTGAGTGACAGAGGGAAAAGGTTGTGTGGTCAAGGGGCTCAGGAAAAATGTTGTTGGGAAGTGATGTACATGAAACTTTTCGGAATGGCATGATTGCCTATCCTGGAGTGGAGAGTCCCTCGTTTCTAATTACAGAGTTAAGAGGGAAAATTCTCATGTGGGTTAAATTTTCGTACTAGTTTAGTCTTAAAGCTTGCTAAACCTTTTTTTTTTTGGCATGGTGCAGAAAGAGTTGATGGCTGTAGAATTATACTTATTAAGTTAGTATAGTTATACCTTCAGTAGCTTATGGGATGATGAGAGGAACTAGTTGTTTTAACTCACTATTTCTCCTTTGTGAATGCTTCCAGGAAAAAAAAAAAAAAGAAAGCGGAAATGTCTATGACTGCGCGATATGATAAAAAATTTAGACTTGAAACTTGTATTTAGTCTGACGATATTGTGTGATGCAGCAATATTTCTGAAAAAGAAGCTATTGATATGTAAATTATCATCAATGTTTAAATATGCTTCATTTTGTTGCTATTCTTTCAAAATGGATTAAAGCATTTTGTGGCCTAGTGCTAATTTATTGTATGCAAGGATGCAGTTAGTTTTGCATTATTTCTGCCTGGGCATGGATTTTTCTTTTTCTCACTTGCTCTAAAACTTGAAGCTGATACAGGTTTTCTGCATTGCTGCAATTGTTGTTAGGGTGTATAATCAACTAAAATAGGGTTTTCTGTTGCATGATTCAATGGTGCCAGAGGGTTAGAAGAGCTATGGACTGTTTTCAGACTGTTAGCCATCTTAAAGGCAAGTTGTTTTAATTTGCTAGTTGTAGCTACTTATCTATATTTTTAGACAAGGCATTCTGCAGTTAAAAAACAGAGGGGTGCTAAAAACTTGATGTTATAAATATGTTGAGTCGGCTTTTTGTCAATTCTAAGTGTGACTTATTCTTTGTGTGACACTGGTTTTGATTTGGTGAGGATATTTATTATGATTGAGAGTTAATATTTCAATGAAGATTTTTAATTCAGTGTATAGTCTATTTTTGCCTAACTTTTAGCTGAGCTTAATTCATTGAGCAAGTTCTCCTGAGTTGTTAGTCATACGATATGTTTCCAAACTTGCTTGGTATGGTATATTTTTTACTTTGAAGATCGCACTTGTATGTAATTCATAGAAGAGTGATAATAAAGAAATAACTGACAAATGAATGATAATAAAGAAATAACTGACGAAGGAATTTTTAAGTTGCACAATTTTAGCAAGCTTTAACATTTATATAACAGCATTTTCCCAATTAATGGTGAACCATCATTATATTTGATTATAGTTTCCAGTTTGGCCTAGATACCTTAGTTCTCTCTGTTTGCCTTTCTAGCAAAGAATATACATGGTGCTTCAGCTTTAAACTTAATAGCCTTCATTCTAGACTTTATGCTGTTAGCATGTATGACGAGACAATTTAGTGCTCATTCTCTCTTTTATTTATCTTTTGAATAATTATCCATTTATGGCACAAATGTGGCTTGTTTCTGGTTGCAGGTTCCCTGTGCCAGCAGTTATTATTATTCATTCTCTGGTTATCCAGTTTCCAAGATGTAGCCTCATTGCAGACATTGAGCAACCCTAGTCATATTTCTTCTGCATCCGAGCTAGCTAATCCACCAAGTACTGAATTATTTGAACCTATAGAAATATCCCCTGCTGTCATTCCTCGTTACCCTTATCCTGGTGAATCTTTACCACCTATGTACCCAACTTTTCCCACAACATATGAACCAAATTTAACTGGAAGGTGCCCTGTAAATTTTTCTGCTATGTCGAATGTCATGGGGAAGACAGCATCTGATTGTTCTCAACCTTTGGCAGCACTTGTAGGAAATGTAATATGTTGTCCGCAGCTTGATAGTTTACTCCACCTCTTCCAGGGTTTCTACAATATCAACTCTGATAAGTTGGTCTTGCGAAATGCAGTTGCCAATGATTGTTTTTCAGATATCATTAGCATCTTAGCTAGCCGAGGGGCCAATAGTACAATACCTATACTTTGTTCTGTAAAATCATCAAATCTGACAGGTGGATCTTGTCCGGTGAAGGATGTTAATAACTTTGAGAAAACAATTAATGCAAGCAAGTTATTGGAGGCTTGCAGCATTGTTGATCCTCTAAAGGAGTGCTGCAGGCCAGTTTGCCAGCCTGCAATTATGGAAGCTGCTTTACAGATTTCTGGAACACAAATGATGCTCAATGAGAATAAAAATGTGGTTGGAGAGACTATTCATATTGATGCTATCAATGACTGTAAACGGGTGGTATATTCATATCTTTCAAGGAAGCTCCCACCAGATGTGGCAAACACTGCATTCCGAATACTATCTGCCTGCAAAGTCAACAAGGGTACAGTTTCTGTGTATCTTGCATGACTGCTGTTCAGTAATTACTTTACCTACTGTTCTTGTTGTTTGTTTTTTTCCTAGTCTTAGACGTGAACTTGCTTGGGTGTCTATTTTACCTTGGGAAATTTGTAGTTGAGATGATCTTATGTTGCATGGAATCATCATTTGGTGAAAGAATTGAAAGTGGATAAAACAGACACCCTTTGCTTTTTACATGATGTATCTATTTTACTTTGATGTTCATTCATTGTTTATTCCCCTACACTTGTTTCTGCCATATTCCTTTTATATTGGGTATAATCTACTGCAATGTAAAGGATAAAAGTAAAATTACAACTTCAAATTCCTATATTAGATCCGGGATATTTAGGCCAAGACATAACTGTATTTTAAATAGGTTCATTAAGCTTCTAAAACTTACATAACAAGATAGGGTCATGTAGTAGTGCTTAGTTTTCTACTGTCCTTGAGTGTGAGATTTATTAGTTATATATTTTATCTTTTTAATTCCCTATCTCAGTTCACAAAGTAATTTTCATTTGTTTTGAATCATTTGTTATGTTTTATCTACAATGGGATAAATATTTTTGCATGTGCAGTTTGCCCTTTGGAATTTAACCAGCCCTCAGAAGTAATTAAGGCATGCCGTAATATAGCTGCTCCCAGTCCTTCCTGTTGTAGCTCATTAAATACTTACATTGCGGGGATACAGAAGCAAATGTTAATTACAAACAAGCAAGCCATAATTTGTGCGACTATGTTTGGGTCAATGTTAAGAAAAGGTGGAGTTATGACAAATGTTTATGAGCTTTGTGACATTGACCTAAAAGATTTTAGTATCCAAGGTATAGTTTTTTGTATGATGTTATTCTTCTAACACTTTGCCCATTTTGCTTTGCTGTTTTATCTGATATTTTGGTTTTCTTTTCTTTCTGCCCATTGAATTCTTATGTGTGATTGCTACAACAGCTTATGGACAACAAGGTTCGTTTTGTTTCCTGGTCTCTTTCTTTTCCCCACATTTCCAACATGCATTAGTTAACAATAGAAAGGGTGTGTGTGTGCATGTGTCTGTATAATATGTGTGGTGGTTGGACACATAGGAGTCGTCAATGGACCTCTTTTTACATGCTAAAAAGTTTCTTCTCTAGCATCCTTTTCATACTTACTTCCTAGTTTGATATATGTATTAATTAGGTAGATGATTATGCACTAAAGTTTGAACGAAATACAAACATACCATATGGACTGAAATTTTTGGTATTTTCTACAAATCTAGGATGCCTACTAAGAAGCTTGCCAGCAGATGTGATATTTGACAATTCAACGGGCTACAGCTTTACATGCGACTTGACTGACAACATTGCAGCTCCATGGCCTCTATCATCTTCAATGTCATCCTTGTCTTTTTGTGCTCCAGGTAATTGTTTGAGAAAGAATGACTTTTGTATGTCTACTTAGAAGGGATGAACACAGTTAAAAGTAGGGATTCAATCAGGAGCATATTTGCCTTGTGGCTTCATCTTAATGTCCTAATGGCTGCTGCCTGCTGTTGCAGAGATGTCATTGCCTGCCCTTCCGACATCGGAGACAATGAAAAATCCTGGTGTGTAACGTTTATTATTTGTATTGCCTTTCTATTTGGCTAAATTCAAAGAATCTGTAAGCAAATGAGAAGCTTAAGATAGCTGATTAGAGGCTTTTTAATAAAGTATATGGAGTGACACTATAGCTTGTCATAGAAATTCTGGTCATGCCTTGCCTAGAGGTTAATACCAATAAAATAAAACAATAGAAGATAGGGTTAACATTCTTTATCGATATTTTAAAAATAACAAATGAAGCAATCTATTACCAGAAGAAACGATGCGAAATCTGTTGGTAGAGTGCTGGACTCTTACTTTCAATAATCAGGGTTTAAATTATGGCTGCTCCAATGGACTGTTGGTGTTTGAGATGGTAAAATTATCTTTTGGGAGTTAGAATCAAGAATTTTGATACCTTCATTTCAACATATATCATCTTTGCACAAACTGGAATGTGGCTAATATATGCAAATGGTTGCTTGTTCTCTTTCTATCTGAACTATTTATTGAAAACTTGTTTTAATTTCTTGATGCAGGCTGCCATGGTTGCACATTGGAAATCTTGGTACCCATTTTTTCATTTTTTGTTTTCAGTACATTTTTGTACTGAAGAGAGTTGTAGTTAGAGGTTGAGCCGGTTTGGAGCGTAGAAGATTTCGGTGATTGACTGACTTTATGTGGGGAATTTACATGTATATTTTGAGTAAGCCTTCTTCAATGTATAGTAGCATCTATTTTCTTTCCTATTTCTTTTTAGACAATTACTTTTCCATCTCCTTTCACTGCTGTCTCTCTCCTGGAATTCTTGGGAAAGAAACTTGCTTTTGTGATTTCTAACCATGTGGGTGGAAAACTTGCACCACTAGCTTGTCCGTTATAAAGAAAAAGAAAGGCAGAAGACAAAAAAAAAAAAAAAGATTCTTTTTGCAAAAGAATTCATATGAATTGTAAACGCTAAGATGGAAGGAATGTCGCGGCTTTGTATTAAGAATAAAAGGAGAAAAGAAAAAATGGAATTGAATTTTGTACAAATAAATATTTTCCTTGCAAAAAAAAAAATGTTAAGATTTTGTTCAATTTATATTTTTGTATTTATCTTTATATTATTTTTTTAAAATGCAAAATTAAATAGCCAAAATATCAATAAAATGAAACATAAAGTTCAAGAATATGAATCTTATTAGCGTTGAATGGTAGAAATAAAAATATATTTATACATGATCAATTTCGGATCCATTTGTTTTGCAAAAATCAAGTTGAATGACCCATAATCGAACATACTATCAAGTCAATCAATTATTATTTCGAGTTATGTTCAAGCACACAAAATAAACCTTGATCAAGCTCGTGCTTTTCACTTGGTATAGCCAATGAGTACAACCAAGCTGATAATGTGTTAATGGGGGCAAGCTTTCCCAGAGAACACAGAAAACCAGTAAATCAGCAGCTTCAAGCCATTCAACTTCCACTACCACCCTATTTCTATTGCTCTCCATTAACATACACAAACCTATACAAAAACATATATTATAACTAATTGACTATAATCTATGCTCACATTTTCTAATCCCTTTTTCCTTTCTTCCTCGAACTCAAGCAGTAACAACCATGCAAGATTGAAGAACAGCAGCGTAGAGCTGAGCAGCCGTTTGTTTTGAACCATCATGGAAAGCAAAGGGGGTAACACAAGAATGTAGAAAAGGTATGGCTATTTCCCCTTATACGAGACTAAAATGCAGGACAGTGATTGCCTCCCGAGCATCAGCTTATCTGCTATGAGCCTCCAACCAAAAAGCAGTTGCTACTACCAGAACTGCCCAATGTACAAGGCACATCGCGAACCTGAAACTTCACGTTACGTGTTCCAACATACTCCAGAATCTCCAGACACTCCTCTAAGTCTGAGTCACTAACCAACATTACCCATTCCTCTTCATCATCTAAATACTTGAGCTGGAATGTCCCATTTTTAATTTTGAACCGTTTTGCAACTTCTTCATACAGTTGGAAGCACCCGGCAGATGGCTCAAACTTAAAGCGGACAGTATCCTCTTTGTAAGTAGCTTTCACGGTAATTTTTGAGCTGCTATCAACACAAATTGTCTTCAGTTTTGAATTCTTTGCCTCCTCAAAGCTCTGGGAGCTAGATGAACTTCCACGCAACATTGAACCACAGCCACTTGAAGAGTCTGTCATGCTTGAAAAAGTAGGTTGGTGGCTATGTTCAACAATCCCATCATCACCCTCAATTTGGGTCTCCATTTCATCAGCAGCAGCCAAGGAGCTTGAGCTCCAAGACACAAACTGGCAGTCAGAATCCTCTACTTTCAGATTCCCATTGTTCAGACCCCATCTGTGACCTCCTTCTTGTAAATAAGAGCCCATATTTGCATTTTCTGGACAAGTCCAAGGTGCAATGCCAACGCTAGCTGCCTGGAATGATCCTGCGTCTAGAGCAACTGACTTATAGTCCTCACTACAATCAATAAGAGGTATACTAGATTTCTTTACTTCTTGACAGGTACTTTGAATGAGCACATTTCTTGCAGCCTCTCTGTTGTTTCCACCAAAGGAACACTCATCTTCCTCTAACTTAACCACTGAATTTTCTCCATCAGAGCAAGATGCTAGAGGTGCTGATGATTTCTCTTGATTGACAGGCTCAGGTATTCTAACAGGAAGGTTTTTATTGGACAATACTAGTGTTTTCTGGGTATCAACTTCTGGGATGATGGTACCTGCAGCAATAAATCCTCCTGTGGCTGGATCAAACTTCAATCCTCCTTCCACCCCTTTCACAGAGTCAAGAACAGTTTGTATTTTTCTTAATGATCTATTCACCTTGTTAATCTTTCGAGATGGCCATCTTGAGATCCCATGTTGTCTGCATATCCTCTTCAGTGTAGTGGGACAAACTACAAGAAGCAGGAAATCAAAGGTCAATCACAGATTAAAATCCGTGGTAAGAACCAGTTTCACTATAGTGCTTGAAAATAATATTCTTAGCACGTGTAAGTTCATTACCAGTGTTAAGAACTATTTTCTAACGCATATAGACTGGACCATAAAAACAATTTCTAGTTGGATAGGTTCGTAATAAATAAGAAACAATTCAGCATTATTTCCTTGGATTGAGCCAAAATACATTTCTGTCATAATTTGATTAAAAGAATCTCCAATCTATAAAAAAAATTAAGCTCGAATACTTATTTTATACAGTATCTTAGGAGCATGGAGGTTGCTCAATAAAAACTTCAAAAGAATAATCTCGCTGAATCAAGAGCGAACTGTTCTCAGTAACATGCACCATCCCATGGAGAATCTTATTCATTTTATCTATTTTAAGAAGAAACCAAGACCGAAAAGTAATTTTTTTAAAAGAACAATACTGAACCATACCACATGAATCATACAAGAATATAGTTCCATACAGAATCTTTTAGGAAGCTTTGCGTATTTAAAGAAGTTTAGAAATGCAATCTCAAAGAAAAATATCAACTTAAATTTAATGCTTCTATATAAATAGTCTTTCTGCAAAAGTAAAGATGAGCTGAACCTTATACAGTAAAGTCAACAACAAACACCAAAAAAAAAAAAAATTTATAGAAACCTGACCAGAACCAGTGATGTAATAACCTTGTAATGTGCATACACACAAGTAACATCAAGGCTTACCGCCAATGCTTTTTGCAGCATCCTTCAGACTCCCAGAGAAATACTGCTGAAGAACACTTAAGCTCACATTTTTTTCTGTTGTACTTCTCTTCTTCTCTATCTGCCTCCTTGGTCCACTCATTGCCTATAAAAACATGCACTAAGATATTACTTAACCACATAAGCTTGTCCACATCAGCCACTATGACATGAAAAATCAGCACTACTAAATAAATTAAATAAGTTGTGTACACATACACACAAACACACATACATATTTATTTATTTACCTATTTCTTTCTTCCAATGGGTATATAGAGTCTCGAATAATACATGTAACAGTAAACGGTTCAAGTATTTAACTCATTTTGTCCAAATAATATCTCTCTCAGATTTCAACTTTTAATAACAGTAATTGATATTAACACAGGAAACTCCACCTAATTTTGATTCCTTCAAGAAGAGCTTAATGAGTTGCTAAACTCAAGGTTAGCAAGTATGTGACATGTTCATCAACAAGTTCTTTAGAGCTCAATTATTAGGGGTGGATAATAGAATAATACAGCATCTACAATTGATGATGCTTCAATATCAGCGAGACACCCACTCTTTATTAATAGTAAACATAAGTATCTTATTATTAAGAAAAAATAGTATCTTATTTAACTCAAAAGATATCAGAAAAATGGATCTCAGATCATGAAATCCCTTTGTCTCAATGCATCTCTCCAATTAAATTTCAAGATTTCAGTTGTTTATATACAAATCAATGAAGGATCCCTTTCATGTGTTTCACAAGTTAAGTACTCAAGTCATCCATCAAAAGGGAGAGAATTTTCAACACTGTACCTGTTCAGGAGGACCATCGGCTTCCTTTCCATCACTTTTTGAATTAGATACATTCAAGGGAATTCCATCATTGGAGTTCATTTCACTATCAGCAGATAATGCTGGTTCTGAACTCCTCCTAGACATAGAAATAGGGGGGAAGTTTGGGACTGTCCCCCTCTGAAACTCAACTTTTGAACCTTCTCCAACAATTTCTCCATCTGAAACCGTTCTTAAACTCCTACAGATTCGTTGCATTGTACCTGAGAGACTGTTCAGCAAGAGTTGCTGTTCTGAACTCCCTTTCATGTGAATAGGAAGAAAAAACTCCAGTATATAATTATCATCACCAGTATAGGTGCTCCTCAGCCTGATTGCAACTGCAGCATTCAGGTTAAACTTACGTGCATGATGGACAAGTGGATACTCACTTATGTCATATGTCTTCACATCAGCAGAGAAAAATGGATGGTTGGACTGAAACGCTTTTCCAGCTATACCCTGTCCTTCTTCAAGATAATGTTCCACACATGCATGCACAAAACCTTGCATCTCTCTTTCATTAACATAACAGGCTGTATGTTCAATGCATAAGACGCACTTCCCATCCCAACCCTCATTACCCTCTCTAACACGTACTTTTATAATTTCATCCACAGCTTCCTCAGTGTAATTGCAAGGAATCCATGTTAGAGCCAAAGGCAATCTATGCGCATGACATACAGCACGTAAAACATCAGCTATTTCAGCTAAAGCAGCTCTCCGATTACTTGAGAGGCACTGAGGAAAAAAACGAAAAGAGAGTCCTTAGAGAAAAGGTACTGTACCGCGCTATTTATTCAGTTGACCAAGAAGAAAAAAAACAGCAGTTGTTTCTCTCTCTCTCTCTCTCTATATATATATATATATATATAATATTCAACATAAAAGTAAAAGCTGAATTGAAATGCACACAAAGTTTTTGATGTACCTGGGGAAGAAGTCGAGGAGAAGCAGTGGTCCTTAAATTCACAGCCTGCAGATATAGGGATCAAGACAAATTTCATGATACCAGCCATAACATATACAGTTGAGAATCTTAAAATTAATACATGATTTACATTACAAGCACATTCACTGCTTTTATAGTTTATGTCTGTGTGGGTGTGCTATCTATCAAGGGTTTTTTTTTTTTTAATTCTAAAAATGAAGATATATATTTACTGTCAAAACCTTTCAGCATACAGCAATAACTCCAGAGTTGCCATTTACAAACATGATAGTATCTCTGAAAATGCTCTGAACTTCTGCAACCCAAGAGTTTCCAGCAGAAAATGCATTCTTTTTCAGCAGTAAAAGATGTATTTGAAATAATACGTGAACAAATTAACATTTTACTCAAAAACTGAAAATATGACTTAGGAAGAGTTCTAGAATGGAAGAAACAACTCTAGCAAATTATTAGTCAGAAATTTTTTTACCTCCTTGATAATCTTCTTCATGTTACCCATTAAAAGGGAGTTTAAGTTTAAATGAGCTAATAAGGTAGCCAAGTCAGTGATATAGATATATTTGGTGAGTTGCAGAGAACAGGAAACTGATGTTCAGACACAAAAACACAAACTTTACAATTATAGAAGCAGAAGTAATAGATACTAACCTGAAGTGCATGGCAGACATTTTCCATTTCTGAATCAAAATTGGGTTTCTCTTTCATAGTGACAAGTTCCAGCACAGCACAACAAGACATCTCAAGAGGTTCAAAAATTGGCAAGGCAATAGATCCACGGACTTTGTGATTTACTGCATGTGTAAACCGCAAGTACTCACCCTTGCTGTAATGGATTACATTAGAAGTCCACTCAGGAACTCTAGAGATAAAAACACGACCAGGAAGCCCAGGGAAAGAACCCGGTTTCAGTTCTGCAGAGAAGTTATACGTCCTTGAGACTTCACGATAACCAGAAAGCATCTGGTCTAGCAAATAGGGCTGATCAGAAGTGGTAAGCATATACTGATTTCCATGCTTAATTGGAACCCAAACTTGTGCCAAAATGCCCCCTCCAGATGACTCCTTAAATAAGGACAGTGCTCTAAGCATCTTCTCGTCAAGTGATTGTCCAATTGGCCTAGAAACCAACATATTAGTCAAATCTGAAGAATTATTTTGTCTATTATCACCATTATTTCGTCTAAAATGCAGTTCTGCATCTACGGAATCCAATGGATTACCAACGTTTGCATCTGTTTGCTGGAATACCATTTTGTCCACACAACTATGAGAACCACCCATGCCACATAATGCATCACCAGCTTCAACAAAGGTACCAGAACTTTGTTCTATAATATGTATTGAGTCCAAAGGGGCATAAGGCAAGGATGGATAGGAGGACAAACCCAAGGATGCAAACATCTGATCCGTAGCTGCAGGGCTATTACACCACCCAGCATAAGTATCGAAGTTCATGAGCTCTGAAAAGTTGAAAGGATCCTCAGAAAGTGAATTCCTGGTATTGCCACCCAACTGTTCCCCATCCTCCATCTGTGTTCTTGGAGGAACCCAATAGCCATTTCCGTTTTCTTTAGACGAAAACAGGTACTCCATTTTTTTCACAAAAAACGAACCAACCCCACTTCCAACTAAAATCAGCAAATGCTAGAGTTTTAAGAACAAGCTTCCACTCAGTCTAAAACTTCCATCCCTAACATCTTCCCCAATCTGCTTCCCAAAACCCAGGAATTTCCCCAACAAATGCATCTATCCTTCCACCTCTTCAAACACCAAACTCAATTTTCCAAAAACCAGAGTTACCCGAAGCCATACTACCCCTAACCTGGAGAACCCAAAAGAAAAATCAAACTTCATCTCTCTGTCTCTCTCTCTCTCTCTCTCTCTATATATATATATATATATATATATATAATAAAATAATACAGAAACCTAAAGAAAGAAACAAACTTTCAATAACCAATTTCTGCACATATATCTCACATGTTAAGTTAATTTAACAATTATAGTACCTAAAAATAGTAATACAAAGCTCAAGAAGAACTGACCTCAGAGAGTGAAAAAAAAAAAATGATGACGACCAAAAATTTTCAGTCTCCAAAGCCGCCGCAAATCACTGCAAGGATAGTCCACTGCTCTCAATCAACATTAACTCACAAAACCCACCTCAGATTGATCCACTTATACACAAATATATCAAAAATTCTGAATAAAAGGCCAAGAAAAAATTACACATTAAAAAGATGAAATGAAAATTTAGGTGAAATGGACCAAAAATCAAATTCAAGACTAAGTGCAGTATCCCCAATAAAAAATACGTTACTAAAAATATTATGCAACAAAGTAAGATAAAAATTTTTCAAAATTGGCAATTCTTTTTCCTTTAATTAAATTCAAATGAAATTCAACTGAAATGAAATGAACAAAAAATGAAATTCCAATACTTTTTACACCCACCTGTAAAATTTGAAGCTCCTTAAAATTCTGTAAAGGAAACCCAGAAATTTAGAGGGAGTAAGACAGAAAGTTACTATAAAAGGAAATCTTAGTAACTGGCATAACGGATTTTTAAGGGCAAAATTGGTTTTCTATTATGAAGACCTAGTAAAAATGGAAAGTTTGGTTTGTTTTTTATTTTGAGAAGTTAACTACTTAAGTAGAAGAACCGAAAACCTGTTACTGTTATAAGGCTTTAGAACATGTCTGATGTCTGCAAAGGTTATCTTTGTTTCTCTTTGGTTTGGTTTTGGGTATTTTTAGATCCTGAGAGATGAGCAATTCATTGAAAAAAAAATGGCAACTGTTGGATAAGTTTTAAATGTCAAAATTACCCTTGTTTGGTAAACGAAGACAATGATATGTCTCTTTGTTTTACTTGCAATTCATTGAAAAAAAAAATGGCAACTGTTGGATAATTTTTAAATGTCAAAATTACCCTTTGTTTGGTACACGAAGACAATGATATATCTCTTTGTTTTACTTGAATTTTTCAATTTCACTTTTTTTTTTGGAACTATTAATCTTTGACTCCGTTAAAGTATAGCAACTCGTACGATGATATCATATTTATTTTATGTTAAATATATTTAAAATATAAAAATTTTTATCGTATAATTATGTCAATATATAAAATATAAAATTTTTATTTTTATTTTTATCAAATTCACATATTATTTTTATTAAAATTTTAATTTATATTTTTTATCGTATTATCATATTATACATAAATGTATCAATCTTGATTCCATTTCAATTTTTGTTATTTTTTTTATAGAATATATTGTCTAACAAAGTTAAGAGTATAAGTTTAAGTTATTAAAAAAAATTTTAAAATAAGAAAAGATTTACTTACACTAATGTAAAAGTTATATTTTTTAAAATTTTTAGATAAAATGATTAAATGTAAGTGTTATAAATTTAATTTTAATTTAAAGAAAAAAAATATAACTTTTACACTAATATAAGTAAATTTTTTTAAAGATATATTAAATTGTATATTATTATCCAAAACCTTTGAAGGCAAACATAGTATATAAGATAAAGGAAATGGAAAACTTTAGAAAAATTAACACGTAAATGATTTATCACATAACTTTTCAAGATTTTTTTTTATTTTGATCACCAATTTATAAAAATAATGTTTTGATTATAAACGTTATATATTATTTTAATAACCTTATTATTAAAAAATAATTAACTAATCTTTTATCCGATATTCTAAATCAGTATAAAATTATATAAATCATAATTAATGTAGGTCTCATTGAAACTTTATCATTAAACATACCTAATCGTAATTACTTGACATTGTAATTGCAAGTTTTTATTTTTTATAATAATACAAAATTTTTTATTTTAATTATTATTATCTCAATTTGTATTGCGATCAAACATAATTTCCATAATAAAATCTTAAATAAACTTTTAATTGTGACTTGTGAGCAATATTGGCATCAACTATCAAGTTGAGAATAATACTAGTGAATTTTTCAAAAGGATAACTAAAATAAAAAGATTAATGAATGAAATCCATTTATGATTTTATGGTGATCAAATTATTTAACCATATATAAGTTATTAGCTATCTTTAAAGAGACACCTTGCCCTAAACAAAAAAAAATAAAAATGATGGATGTTGTTTATTGATCAAGTATTTTTCAATAGCATTAGCTTTGAAGCCTTTTATCTTTCTTTTGCACCAATATATAGTTGATAAACTTCCAAGGCAATAGGCATATATATATTAAAGGTGTTGTACATTATTAATGTATCATAGCCCTTGAGGATAACAACAATTAAAGAAGGTTTTAAAGCCAAACTTTCATACATACCGCATAGAAATTTTGGAGTCTAAAGCTACTTTTTCTATCCAATATTTGGTCTAAAACAATATTTGTAATTCAAATTTAGTATTATAAACTTTTCAATCATTAATAGGGGAATAGAATGAAGTATCAATATTATGGGATAAGACAAACAATAAAGTGATTGAATTTCTTTTATAGTATTGATCCAAACATCTTAAAAGATTATTTAAGGATTAGATTATTTATTTAAATTTAAAAATTTGTCTAATATATAAAATGATTTGAATAAAAATATTAAGCTCGTTAAAGAGTTTAGATAAAAAAAAAATATAATCCTTTACAAAAAGAGTTGAGTTTTGGTTCAACACTAAAGGTTCGAATTTGATTTAATTCAATATATATTTTTAATTATATAATTATATATATATATATTATTTTTTGTATTTATATATATGATGAAATTTATATTATATAAGAAATAAATAAATAAATATATAATATTATAGTGTAAACAATAAAAAATATTTTAAATTATCTATATTTTAAAATTTAATAAAATAAAAAGGTAAAACTACTAAAAATTAAATAAAAATATCATTTTTAGGTTTTTTAAAAAACTATTAAATGGACTTAGGTGGATTTGAGATATACCATTTAATAATTTGAGTAGGTTTAAGCAAATTTTCAAATTTAAATTATCAAGTCGAGTCAAAGTTGGATAAATGTATAAATTATTGATATTATATATAAACTTTATTCAAATCTAACTTAACTCAATTTATGAGTATTTCTATATACAACAAAAGCAAGTAAAATGCTAAAATTATGATAATGAACTACATTAAAATCTAAGATGGCGATAGAATTCAAAAAATAAAATCCAGACTGAAGGAGGAATTAAGTATTAAAAAAAATTACATGAGCTGAAATCAGATTATAACATTGGATCTATAGCATATGTGATTAATTAGCTTTATACAGATCTAACTTAATCCCTCTAATTAATAATTACATCAACAAAAAAAAAAAAGATAGAAGGCTTTATATATATATTGTATAAATTTTAGATTTAATAATATTCATGTTAAGTAGACATATCCATAACATGAGTTATCCAATTCCACCGGCGCTCAAAAGTTTAAACAGGCTAGACTAAACTTGGATTAGATTTTTAATTTAAATATTTAAAAATAATATTAAATAAATGACAATAATAATCGTTATCAAATTTTTTACATTAATTATAGTAATATATTTTTATATATTATATATTAACATTTTTAAGGAACAAAAGTACAAAACAACAAATCATTTCTTAATATAAAAAAAAGGACAAGGAGAATAAAAAAGATAATGATGTGATGTCGCAAACCAAGTGTAATCCACATATATGAATGACCAATAAAATGGTTTGGTAGGGCAGTGAAGAAAATGTCAAAGAGATTTTATTGGTGGGAAAACATAGTGGACAAATGGATGACATGTGTAATGAAAATGAAAGAGTAGATCTAGAATCTACTAAGCAACCAAGGCCAGAATTTGATTTTAAGAGTTTTTTTTTTTTTTTTTTTTATTTTATGAGCTCTTATGCTAAGCCATTGGGCAATTCAGAGTTGTTTTGGTTGGGGCTTTGGGGGGAGGGGGGAGTTGGTCGCATGGGGTTTGGGGTCAGTTAGGGGTTCAGGTTTTCTGGCCTTGGTTGGCTAGGCCTAGCATTAGTAGGTAGATGTTACGATTTACATCGTTATGAAATATATTTTTTGTTTTATTATATTGAATTTCATGATATTATCTTATAAAAACATCTTCAATATAATATGTAAATAGTATTTAAATAATGAATGAAATTCCAACCCACAATGAATGTATGATTTAGTCTATGTTTCATAACCCCACTCACCTCCTAAAAACATTAATTATTATGTGTTGGTGTTGAGCCTTGATTTCGAGGTTTTTTTTTTTTTTTGGAAAGATAAAAAAAAATATTAAAAGTAAAGGTAGGGTGTACTCCCTATATTTGTACTTTGACACACAAATCAGAAAGAGTGAGATTGAAAAAGAAATAGGAAGGAAAGAAAAGTACTTGAATGGACCTATTTCAATGATGTCTGGACCTCATATTTATAGATAAGTTATAGGAGACCATTAAGAGATAATAAGGACAATGCTTGATGTATTATTGATCATGTTAGATTGACTTGACATATTAGGTTAATATAAATGATAAAAATATCCTTGGTTGTTTTGTTGAAGGTTTCTAATAGGAAAAAAAAATCACTATATCTTTTTGACTATCAAATATTCCTAACACTTTGTTTCACCACTAAGTAATCTGACACTCTGTCCCCTCACCAAGTAATTTGAAGATTAGATTGCTGAATGCGTAATCGATGCTTGCAGTATAGGGCAGATTGGCAAAAGGAGATGACTTCAAAATTTGATTTTTAAAACCGACATCATAAAGGAAGAGGTTGGTTTTAAAGAGTGATTAGCCTTGAATCATGGTCTGACTTTATGGTTATCTGATCTCGCAGTGCATCTTGGTTAAGTGCATAGCCAATTTAAATGTTACCGAGGTGATAATTAGTTGGAATGATCCAAGGTTAGTGTTGGAATTCATCTGGTTATCGTGAAACTAGTATTTTATTTCAAAAGCTTGGATTTAGGCCTTTATTTTGAACTCTGATGGTGTACTGGCCTTTTAGTTTGTCTCAAAAAGTCATTTGATTTTGCTAGTTTGACTTGGGGTTCATTTAGTTAGGCCAATTTGATAACATCATATGAAGAGAAATGTGGTTTGAGTGAAAAAATTTCAAATAGACAATTAAAAATAAGTCTTTCTGCCTTTGCTCTGACACTTGTGTGGCCTATGCCATTCATCTTATCTACGACATCTCTATTAAAAAGGCCGCTAAGGCTTTAATTTTTCACCTTTTTACTTTTTTTGCTCTCAATCCGATCTAAATTTTTTGATTTCAAAAGTTTTTTAGCCTTTAAAGTTTTTTCACACCTTTTTCAGTTCATATTCTTAACCATGTCTTTTAGGATGAGTTCTAAAGAGGTTGAGAGTTACGGGGTAGAACTTAGGGAAGGTCAATATACGTAACTAGATAATGATCTGATTTTATCAATTATCGAGGGCCATAATTACAATAAGATGGCTTACTAGTTTAATTCGATGTCTAAAGAAAGGTAGCGATAAATGAAAAGAATGCTCGGATAAGAGAAGAACAGGTCCTAAGCACGAAAGAGCTGTGTGCTCATATTAATTTTAAGCTACATAGTCCACCACCTTTCCTTATATCTCAAATTGACCCATCTTTTATGGCTGACTTTCTTTCATCTTTGGCTGTTCCCTCTTTTAAAGTTCAATCTCATCAAATTTTTTCTACCTCTACTATTTTCCCCATCGATGCTTCTGTCTTCACTTCCATTCTACCCCATTCAATTTTTAT